GAAAGGCTTTATTGTACACTGGCACAAAGACTTGATTTTTCTGTGGTGTTGATTTTGCATATCCGCAGTTTGTCAGATCCAGCCTTGCTTTCTTACCAGGAGTGGCTTTGCTAAAGCTTTGCTGATGCACCATGTTCTTTTACATCATGTTTGCACAGTACTTTGCTGATATTTCCTTATTCTCTTCCTCCGTGCCTTGACAAGTGATATAATGTAAGTCTCCCAGTTATGAATACTAATTATCTGCTGGCTCATTCTTGGTTTTCAGATAGCAATCAAGGCTAGCTGAACAACTGCCTAGTGAAAACCAAAAGCGTAAAAAGTAAGTGGAGTTATGAGATACATGGGTAACTAACTTCAGCAGTGACCTTTATAGAGCCTGTGAAATAATGGTGGGAGATCTGCTTGATGAGTTCACAGCTTGTGCTATAATCTCTTGTCAAAACCACCAGGTCATTTTTTATTTGGCTCTCCTAAAATTTTTGTCTCTTTTTTTCTAGGAAATATTTTAATTAAATGCAAAATAAAAATAAATTAAATTCTATGACACTTACAGTGTTAATCACAGGAGTTAAGCTATTTTTCCCTGCCTATAAGGAAATGTCTTTCAAGCCTAAGCAAAAAACTGTCCTTCTACATAAGATCACGGTAGTTAAATGTTTATTATACCTTGCTGATGTTGCAGGAGAGTTCAAAATAGAAATGCCTAGGTAAGCCCAACATGAGGCTCTCCTCTTACGTCGGGCTTGTAGGACAGCTTAGTAATAGGTTTTTATCTGGTTTTTGAAGCAGGTATTTTCCTTTAAAATTGTCTAGATTTTTGTTTTAAATTGAATGTTTCCCCTGGAATTTTACAAATTAAGATTAAAACCAGTTTATCTTCTCTCCCACTCACCCATTTTTCACATTCTTAAAAAAATCACTCACAGTTGAAGCCTTATGGAAAGAGAGGGAAAAAGGTTTTTAGGGCAGGAGTGAGAATGGAAGGGTTGGGAGATATAAAACCACAGTTGGCAATCCTGCTCTCTCACATTTTATAAGACAGTAAAATCTGCATATGGCAGATGCTCTTTTTATAAGGGGAAAGAAACCCCTTGTAATTTAAGTCAGGATCTCTGGGACTCTGCTGGGTGTGTTTTCAGAAATTTTTCTGGAAAGCATGTTTTAGTTTTGAAAACAAGCAAGTTGCTTGGCAGATTTTTAGAATGGGGAATTAAATATAAAAATCAGAATACTATATTAAACAGTGTCATGTAATAAATGCAGTATTGTTTGCAGGTGCTGGCTCTCGAACTAGCAAAGGGATGCAAATGTGTTTCTTTTTAGCATGCTGCCAGGCCCCACTCTGCAGGATGAAGCAGGATTAGAGGGTGTTCTGACCTCAGAAGACCAATTTTTCACTATTTTTTGGCATCACTGACTGCATCCAATTTAATTTCCAGAGATGGTGCGTATTCAGACCAGTGCGGGGTTAGATGTCCAGTTCTGCTCCGTGGTAGCACCACTGAGCTGGGAAAAGCCATCACTGCTTAGAAACCCCAAAAGAGGCTTCAGAGCTGGTCCTGTGGGGTTGTGTACCCTGGGGAGGGAAGGACATTATGGCCTTTGGGCCCCCTAATTAATATTGCCAGAGAACCTCCCTATTGCACGTCAGATAAAGGATGAAGCAAGGCAGAGCATCACTGAACATAGAAAAACCTACCCTCACCTTTTAATCTGTTTTTGTGTTTGCAATCAGAATAATGGATAAGAAAGAGTAATTTGGATGGAGCAGTGTAAAGCTGAGCAGGCTCTGAATAAATCCAGAGTTAAAAAAGGTAATTACTTAACTGATGATACGGAAAGGCATTTCAGTATTTGAATGAAGCCTGAATGCATGGGATGAGAGAACAGTGCTAACGATGCTGAGACTATGATTCTGAAGGGCAAAGTCAGTCTTGGCCTTGTGAAGGGTGACCAATACAAGCAGTGTTGGTAGGAAAGAGGAAGGTCTGGTTTGTCCTTGTAATTTTTAAGTTGATGATGAGTCATGTAAACTTCTTTTAGGGGTGAGCTGAGAGCCAGGATAATGTCAGGGGAACTGGCTGTAGCAGAAAGGTATTTTTTCTTGTGTCTAGGTGGATAATAGTTATTAGAAACATAAGAGAAACTGAGCTCATTAAAAAGAAAAAAAACACGTAATACTAAAATTAAAAAAAACCCTGAAGGGAAGCGAAAGATTGGAATGACAGATTTGGGATGTGGTAGACCCTGCAGAAGAGTTTCTGGTGAGATACAGAAGGAGGTGGAAACGTGCAGACCATGGTGGGGAGCAAGATGCCAAGAAAGAAGGATGTTCACTGCTGAAACAACAGCCAGTTAGAGATTGGGCATCTGAGGTTTGGTGGGTGTCAGTGCTGGAGATGGCCCTGGAGAGGCCAGTATAGGACCCCAGCACCCAGGGAAGGCATTAGAAATGCTTCAACAAATGGCACATTCAGTGAATTTAATGAATTGAAATCAGCAAGCAGAGAGGCATAGGATAGTACCATGCTTTTTATTTAGCAAGAAATATTAATGTGTCAGAGTTTATTCTTGTTCTGCCTAAAGAAAGAAGTTTAAAATGTCAGCATTTCAAGGAACAAGACAAAATTCCCCCTCGTTTACAAACAGAAATACTAAAAAAAAATAAAACCAAACAAACCCTCTTATAAAACTGAAAACAATTCCGGAAAAAAATTGGGGTTTTTTCTCAAACTTTTGAACTGTCATTTTTGTTTCAATTTTCCTCAACAGGAATTTTGGGTGGTTTTTTGGGGATACTGTTCCTTTGACCAGAAAAAAAGTTGGTAACTGAAAGGAAGCTTTTTTTCCCCCTCAAAAAGTTCTGTTAGTCCTGCAGGCATTAAAACACAGTGTTTTGCTTGAGGATATTAGAATGTACTTATTCTGGGAGGGGAACACTGCCAAAGACCTGGAAAAAAAACGCAAGGCTGGGGGAGAAAGCTAAGAGGATGTGAGTAGTGCAGGTGGGTAACAGAGAAGAAGGTGTGAAAAATCTCTTTGTGGTGAGAGGAGAAAAGAAAGTGGAGATTATAGCTGCCAACAGTCTTGTCATTTGCTTTGTACCAGTCAGCTGGAGCTTCAAGAAGAAGGGCTTGTGGAGCACATCGCACCTTCAAAGGGCAGATGGGAGCGGGTGCAGACGGCAGCTGGCACAGCTGGGGGGGACAGCCCGTGCTAGCACTGGGAGAACGTGACACTTAACACCATGACATGTCCTCCAGAGGTGCTCAGCAGGGTAAGACTAGAGGCAATTATAAGACTAGCTTAGCACAGAAGCGCATGTGAACTCATTGGTGAATTCAAGAGTAACTTTCCAGATTATCACAGTAATCTACCTTAGTGCTGCTTCGTGGGCAGCAAATGCCCAGGAGGCTGCAGACCTTCCCATAGCCAAACCTGAAACGTGGTCTGAATTGCTGGCTGCTGCTCTGGGTTGTCACTTGTTTGAGGTAAGTGTCAGCTGGGATCCAGCTCCTTAAATCAGCAGTGCAGGGGATGCTCACCACCTTGGTTGGGCCACTTCGCATCTTGCTGCCAATAACCAGAGCTCTGTGGGGGTGTTGGGCACGCACGTGTCCACGAGGTTACTGCCTGCTCTGATACCCACGCAGTTACTCTGGAGAACCAAGTGACTTAAGCCTAAAGCATTTTTACCACATTTCACTGCAAATTTCATTTCTTTATGATCATCCGTTACTGAATTTTTTTGTCAGCTTGTCTGTTCTAAAAAGAGTCTGGAAGCCTTTTATGCTGGCTAAGGAAGTAATGATTTTCTCTGTAAAGAATCCTGTGGCTTCCTACAGCAGGAACTTTTATCAGAATAAAATCAGAAGGAGCTAATGGTGGCTGGAGGATTTGTAACAAGCGTGTGAGTCAGGATTGAAAGCAGCACTGGTTTTTTGCTTCTTTAGCTTTTATTTTTTTCCTGGTTCAGTGGATTCTGTTTTTTACATTTACTAGATTCATTTGGATTTTCGATATGTAGCATTAATCTGAAGATAATTAATTTCCTTTTGGAGTTATTCTAAACTGGGAAGTCCCTGAGTGTGTTTGCAGTATTTCTGAGTAGCGCTGGTGGTTTTGCCTGGCAGGACTCCCTCCACCCAAGGCAAAATCTTGCAGCCCCGTATGCATTTCTCACAGTACCTTATGGAGGGAAGGGCAAAGCAGAATTTTCAATTGAGAGGTGAACTCTTGCACAGTCACTGCAAAAGCGCTGTCTCATGGTGAAAAACCTGCCCAGATGGAGGGATGCCGAGCGGCAGGAGAAGAGCTGCAACCTGCCGTTTCTCTTCTGCCCCACATGGTCTGGGAGCAGACCGCCTCAGACCCAGTTTTGCTGCTCTGGATGGCTTGGGATGGAGAGCCTGTGTTTCCCATAGGTTTGAAAGAGTCTTGGCAGTTAAATCTTTCTTATGTTTCTCTCTTTCCTGCGGTGATAAAGGGAAGCTTCTAGCAACTGCACGTGGTGCCTTCGAAGAAGAGGAATTCTTTCTTGTTTAGGCACATTGATATTGATGTCTGTGAAATAGTTGGGTTGTTTTCTGTAATTTTCCTTTCTCCTACTGTCTTCCAGGTGCACACGTTCAGGGGCCCGCACTGGTGTGAATACTGCGCCAACTTTATGTGGGGTCTCATTGCTCAGGGAGTAAAATGTGCAGGTAACAGTCATTCAGTCTTCTTTTCCTAAGACAGTCCTAATGTTGTAACTATTTAATGTCTACCTGCTCCACCATAACGCTGCGTGGCAAGGGTCCCATCTGGCCCCTGTTAAAATCAAAGAAGGAAACATACCCACTCTGCTGCTGATAGTCTCGGGTACCTGTTTCAGTAACATCACTGCAGTGATGCAGAGCGCCTCTCAAGCTCTTACAGAGGGGAAATGGTGATCATCATTAAGGGGTTTAATTTTCCCCCGCTTTTAGAACGAGGGAGAAAATAGGTAAATGCGTTGTTAGCTTTATTTCTTTTATACCACTTGTATGTACTGGTAGGTGTGAGAAACTCAATGAGGATCTCAATGTGCAAGGTGGGCATCAGCAAATTTCACATTACTGCTGTGAAACAGGCATTCAGGTTAATTTTCTTTATAAACCAGCAGACTCCCAGCGTGCCATAGACCTTAAGTTATGTCTCCTACTTGCAGACTGAAAAGAAAGTAAGAAAAGGGATGATGAATAAGGGATGTGTACTGAAATGTTACAGAAACGTTCAGGTGCTGGTAGAAATGTATTACACGCATGGGTGTCACTGCAGGCATTTCTGGGATAAAGCCTCTCTGAAGTAAAACAACTTGACAGTTTTTGATAGGATTCTCCTGAAAAGAAAGGACAGTCAACTTTTTTTCAAAGGCAAAAAAAAAAAAAGGGATCAAAGTGATCAAAATAGTTTGCGGTATTTAAAAAGTATTTTATGACATTCTAGTAAGCAACCACATTTACGAAAATGGTGCAAAGAAATGTTGATGTATGAAGACCTGTGTATGTTGCCCTGGAAACCGAATTTTCAAGCTAATTTAAGAAAATCTGCTCTGTCTAAAGCTTTCTGAAGTCTTCTTTCAAGCAAATAAGAGGGCTTTTTATCACAGAACTGCAAAATAATGTAAAACTTACAATAATTTATAGTCAAACAGGACTGAAATATTTTAAAATCCTTCCCCCATAATTGTTTGAATGCAATATTCTGTTGTTATTGATAGACTCTGCACTGTCCAGGATGTACTAGAGTGCAGCTCTGGTTTAAGAAATGATTATGTAAAAACAGTATAAATATTTAGGTTGCAGCTGTGTACTTCACTTATGAATGAAGATTGTTAATATTACTGCTATTGATTTTGCACAGGGTGTACAGTGCTAGAAGAGAAAGAGGAAGCCTAATTTTGTTCTTTAATTGTTTTCTGATTAGTCATTTTTTGGTGACACATGAGCCAGTATGTAGTCTTCCTTCCATGCCTGAAGCAAATTCCTCTGTTTTGGCCTTTAGGAGAAATATCAAGTATTTTTCAGATTTATGTTAAGTAACTTTGAAGCAGAAAATCAATAAAAAGAAACAGGCTTGCAGTGCTGCATGGCACTGTGGAATGTACAAATAATACTGCTTTTATAATTAAACCCAAAGTGCTTATGATTTTGTACTGCCTTTTTGTTGTTTTTTTAGTAGCTAAAGTAGAGCTCACTTTCTGCTTTTATGCAGATTTTTCTAAATTATGAATTTCCAAAATCTTCCAAAGTCTGGTTTTCTTTCCTCCTTATGAGGATGGTAGTAAGTACTGCATGTCTCCTTTTTTTCCTCCTCGCAGTGTAGAGGAACATATGTATATTAGATGACTTCATAGGTTCAGAAACTATAATTAGGGCTTTCTATCTTGTGCAAGGTTTCATATCGCTGTTGGTAGCTTCCAGTAATTTCTATGATTTTATTTATATTTTTAAATTCCATGTTGTGCGACCGCACTTGCTTGCTGAAGCATCAGCGAGGCATTGTGGCAGGAGGAGGCTGAGGTTTTTCGGGCCATATTCAAGGTCACTGGGCACAACTAGGCGAGCTGCTTATGTGCAGCATCGTTACCTGGGGTGCAAGGAGAAGCAGGCGAGGAGCCCTGCGGTGGCGAGGCTGCTGAGCAGCGCTTCCTAAGCCTGGCAGGTCTGGTTGCTGCAGTATGTCCTGCGTGGCTTGCTTGAGGTTGAGGAGCAGGAGAGTCAGGCTTTCCTAAGGGTGTGGGTTGCAGCCGACCCTCCTCGCTTGTCCCCTAACCGCAAGGCTGGCTTTTAGCCACTGGCCAACCCCAGCAATAGCTGATGGAGAACTAGGGGCTTCCCAGCTGATGTTATTCTCATGAATTTCATAGAAATCAGTGGGAGGGTAGAGGAGAGGAACTCCAGGCAGAGCCCCATGGAGTTGGAGATGGCGGGACAGGCTCAGCAGTTCCCCAGCCTGCCTTGTCTGTGCCTCACCTTCAGCCATGTGTACCTGCTCCCGTCAGCTGAGGCTGTACAAGCCATCAAAGCCAGAATCTGTACAGATCTGGGCATTTCAGAGCAAAGTCGGAAGCGCATGGATATATAGTGAGGGCCTGTGTAACCAGTGTTAACCTACTAGTGTGGAAGAGCTCAGGCGTGAGTGCTGTGAGTTTAGCTGGTTTTACATGGGTCTTTTTTAATGGGTCTTTTTAAACATGAGTGGCCTTTTTTTTAAAAAAAAAAAAAAGTTACCATTTTGCTTCTGAACTGAGCTATTTTAATATAGAAACAATGAGGCACAGTAAACAAGGAGCCACATGAGGCCGTTGCTTTTCAGAGTGGGTTTGTACTTCAAAAAAAATTACAGCTTTTAGCAGGAGGCAGCCCACTTGCATTCAAATGGGGTTCAATGCCACTCCGGGGAAATCCACAAAATCTGTTTGGTGGTCTGTATAATCGTTTTATTGAAAATACTATGAGCAAAACTGCACTGATCGTAGGTAATTTTATACTTTGTAAAGCATTTGCCTTTCATAGCAAACAGTTGCACATCTCAAGAGGACTCTGTTTGCTGTACAGAAGTGATAAGTTTAACAAATACAAATGGATTACTGCATGGGCTGCTCTCAAGCATTTTAAATCCTCTTCTCTGCAGAATAACAAAAACATGCAAGAAGGTAAGTGTGGGACAGTCCAAGACTGGACAACAAAGAAATGGCACCCATTTCAGCAAGGAGGAGGAGCAGGAGGAAAAAGTGGAGCTTATTTCTAATGGCCTACAGATTATGTTACACAAACTAAGCCAATCCTTTGATAAATAATAAACCAGAACTAAACGTTCATAACAATTCACCTGCCATAGCAACCAGCAAGGATGCCTTAGCAACTTGAGCTGCCTTGAGTCATGCTTTGTTGCAGTCTGGCATGACTGAATGTGTCCCTCTCTGCCAAGATACAGCCTTGCGTGTGTTCAGTATCTTGTCAGGTACAGTCCTGTATGGTTAACCCCTGGCACGTGGATTCTTCCTAGCTTATCCTTGTTCAGGTTTTATGGTAGACAAAGAAGGAGGAGTACCTCTTTTCCTTCCTTAAAGACAAGAGGTAAATGTAGGCACTGTGTTTGCTACCTGAAGGGTGGGTTATTGGTTCAAGTAAGATGTTGGCTGTCATCTTGATTACAAAAGTTTCAGGATTAATCCAAGCCACCAAACATGGGAAGGCTTTATTGTCTTCCAAAATTAAGACTTAGAGTGATGGCCAGGATTTGGATCCTGTAGGAAATGAATTGATGGACTTAGTCTGACTTCTGCTGGAGGTATATCCATCAGAACAGGAATAATTTCTTCTTCCTTAAATGTTATTCTCTCAAATTTGATCTTTATTTCATCAGCTTCTTTAAAGACAGATTTGCTTCCTTAGAGTGGATCTTATAATAGCCATCTGCCCTACTCCCTCGGAAGGTCGTGCTTCCTAGCCACAGGCCCTTAAAAATTTTTGTGAGATGAAGGCTCATCTGCATGCAAAGAATCTGCCTTTTCTGACAGCATACTTCATCTCCAGCATGCTTTACTGCTGGCTTTTGCCATAAGTAGAAATGACTGAAGAAGTGTTTGAAATTATAATGCCACCAGCTTGTGTAAACATCAAAGCTCAGCAGAAGCTAATGAAGACATAAGAGTTTACCCCAGCTCAAAATCCAATGCATGAACTTTAAAAAAAAAAAAAAAAGTATTCTTGATTACATTCCTCCTATGTAAGACTTCTCTGTGCTCACAGGGCTCATCCCATTTCCTGGAATGTGTTCAGGAGAGAAACTATAACAATGTCCAAAGAAAATTTTCAGATATGCACCAGGGAGTGCATTTTATGAATGATACAAATACATAATACTCGGTAGCATTAGTGGAGAACAGCATGTATTCTCAGAGACTAGAGCATGGCCTTAACGATGCTGTTGGTGTACTACCCAAGTAGACTTGTAGAGAAGCAGACTAGTAGAGTTGCCAAGCTGCTGCGTGAGTCCTGGCCCCTTCTCCAGCCCATCAGAACAGTTGAAGTTGCTGTATAATCTCCTCCTTCCTCTGTACCCTTTTACTTGTTGTTCTTAGTAAGTGGTTTAATCAGAAGATTTTTTTTTTTTTAACAGACTGGTTTAAGAGCATTGATTAGCTTATCTTATAGGAAAGATGATTTTTTGACTGTATTTCACTGGATGCTTTTGATAGTGTTTTGGACTGCTCATTTTAAGACCAGGCAGCACCACTTTCTGAGGCTGTACGTGAAGCACCGTTTCTGCTGCCTTGATAGATTTGCTCTGAACTGTCTCAGCCTGCCACCCATGCAGCAGTTGTCTGTCTTTTATGTTCCTTGAAGGAGGTAGCTTCTCTCTGAAGAACTGATAGAAGTAAACTTGCAGCTCAACTATCAGTGTGGGGGCAACGAGCTGCCACTGGCTGAGCCCAAGCAATATTGCTGCCAGCCCTGCCCACAGTAAGCCCCAGGAATTCATTTTCAGAAAAGTTAAATTACAGTCTCAAAGCAGGATTGTTATGTGAATTACTGCTTAAGTGTTTAATTTTCCCATTTCATCCGTTTCCTTCTCCAGCAATTGAAAAACGTACAACTGCCCCATTTCCTTCGCTGTTTTATTTTGCCTTGCTATTAAATCCTTTGTGTTAGACAGCCCTATGTTGCTCCACTGG